CCCCCCGCTGACCAGCCGCAGCCCCTTCGCACGCCACCCTCACACCCCCTACTCCTCTCCCCAGCCCCCTCCTAGAACATCAGAACTGGAAGGGACCTCAAGAGTCAAGCTGAGCAGTCTGTATTTTCCCGAGTGGTTCTTAGGTCTCTTTTTATGGACAGGCACCAGATTTGCCCTTTTCCAGTCTTCTGGAATCTCTCCCGACTACCATGACTTTTCAAAGATGAGAGCTAAAGGCTCAGACACCTCCTCTCTCTAGATGCATTTCATCAGGCCCTGTGATGTATCTCCCCCCGCCCCAAACACACACCCTTTGAGATACTTGAAAGCTGCTGCTATCACATCCCCTCTCAGGCTTCTCTTTTCCAAATGACACAAGCCCAATTATTTCACTCTTCCCTCCTGGCTCATGTTCTCTAGGCCTTTAATCCTATATCCCCCACATCCCCCTTTACCGCACCACCCATCCCCCACACACAACCTACCCGCCTTCCACCCTCTCTATGCGCACCCTGCCCCCTCCCACGAACGGGCAACCTCACACATTCATGTTAAAATTCGACACTTACCACCAGGGACTTAACAAGTCTTTGAACTTTCTCACCCATTATCAAGACAGTTTCCCCAATTATCACCTGTAATACCATTAACTCACAAACATCCCACTCTCCCTACCTTTAATATCAGCAATTCACAGACACTTACCTTCCTTCCTCCCCCTTCCCACCCCCCCGCATCCCCCTTCTGTTCTGCAATGTGATTTGTCCTTTTCATATTTGTTCATTTTTTTTAATTGTATCCTTTGGTATATATGGTTGTGACTACTTTCTTCCACTATTTGATCTGAGGAAGTGGGTCTGGCCCACGAAAGCTCATCATCTAATAAACCATCTTGTCAGTCTTTAAAGTGCTACATTGTCCTGTATTTTGCTTCAACTACCCCAGACTAACATGGCTATATTTCTATCACTATTTCACAAGCAAGGAAATGGCCCCAGGGGGTCTGCAGCCGCCCCTTTGTGACACTTCAGGGGTTGCTGGGTTCCTAGGGCGGCTGGGCTCAGGATGTGGCCATGCGGGGTACAGGGATGGGGCACCCTGAGGTTGCTGGCCTGGCGGCCTGCGAGCACCAAGAGCAACAGCAGCAAGTCAGGGCACTGAGGTCAGTGCACCGGGTGCCTCCTCACCCGCCTTGCCGGCACGTGGCTGGGCCGGAGGGAGCCAGTCTGGCTTGGGCGGGGGCGTGAGGGAGGGGGACGTGGGGATTGCAGGCTGTTGGCCGGTGAGGCTTTCTTTGATCAGCTAACAAGTCCTGTGGATAAGGGAGAAGCAGTGGGCGTGGTCTACCTAGACATTAGTAAGGCGTTTGACACTGTATAGCTAGAGGCTCAGATACCTCCTCTATCAGCTCCTTGAGTATTCTAGGTGCATTTCATCAGGCCCTGGTGACTTGCAGGCATCTAACATTTCTAGGTGATTTTTAACTTGTTCTTTTTTTATTTTATCTTCTAACCCTCCCCCCTTCCCACTAGCATTCACTATGGTAGGCATTCCTTCAGACTTCTCGGTGAAGACCAAAACAAAGCAACCCTCCCATTTCCAAGTTTCCTGTTACTGTTTCTCCCTCCTCACTGAGCAATGGGCCTACCTTGTCCTGGTTTTCCTCTTGCTTCATGCAAATGATCCAGACAAACCGGAGAAATGGTCTGAGGTCAATAGGATGAAGTGTATTATGGACAAATGCAAAGTGCTCCACTTAGGAAGGAACAATCTGTTTCTCACATACACTGAGCGGCGACTCTCTAGGAAGCAGTCCTGCAGAAAGGGAGGGATCTAGGGGGCAGAGTAGACCACAAGCTAAATAGGAGCCAACATCGTGACAATGTTGCAAAAAAAGCAAACACGATTCTGGGCTGCATTAACAGGAGTGTTGTGAGCAAGACACGAGAAGTCATTCTGCCGCTCTACTCTGCGCTGGTTAGGCCTCAGCTGGAGTACTGTGTCCAGTTCTGGGCACCGCATTTCAAGAAAGGTGTGGAGAAGAGCAACACAAGTTATTTAGTCTAGAAAACATGAGCTATGAGACAAAGCTGAAGGAATTGGGCTTGTTTAGTTTGGAAAAGAGAAGACTGAGAGAGGACAGGAGAGCAGCTTTCAAGTATCTCAAAGGGTGTCACAGGGAGGGGGGGGGATGGTTCTCCTTGGCCTCTGAGGACAGGACAAGAAGCAAGGGGCTTACGCTGCAGTGAGGGAGGTTGAGGTTGGACATTAGGAAAAACCTGTCACCTTACCGGTCAGGGTGATCAAACACTGGAATAAACTGCCCAGGGAGGTTGTGGAATCCCCATCACTAGAGATATTAAGAGTAGGTTGGACAGACACCTGTCAGGGATGGTCTACTCCAGACAGTGCTGGGTCCTGCCATGAGGGCAGGGGACTGGACTCGATGACCTCTCGAGGTCCCTTCCAGTTCTAGTGCGCTATGGTCCTATGAATGGAGGCAGGGGGATGGGCAGGGGAAGTGGTTAGGAGAGAATACGGGTGTAGGACTGGAGAATGGAGGTGCAGGTGTAGGGCTGAGGAGGGAGAGGGGTTAGTAGAGTTGAATGAAAAGTGCATAAAAAGAATTAACCACAGGAAATCATTTTTGTTTTAAAAATATATTAGGGCAGTGGTTCTCAAACTTTTTGGCCAATGGACCACCTGGCTCAATGTAAACCTTTCCATGGATCACCAGTTGCTAATGAAACTCACCATTAATTCCATAATTATGCCCGAGCCATTTTGCTAGTGCTGCAGCTAGGGAGACTGATTTCAGTTCCATTATTAACCAGATTAAGTGCTTTAACAGTCTCATGTTAGTTTATCAAACTTCATTTTACATAAAATAAAACATTCATTTATGTCCAACATAAAAGGTTTCAATGTTTTCTTTATGGCAGATGTGGGGAACCTTTTTTGGGTCAGGAGCCACTAACCCACAGAAAAATCAGTTGGGGGCCTTATCCCCCCCCCGCTGGTCGCCCCCCCCCCCCAACCGAGATGCCGGACAGAGCGAGGGGAAGGGAAAAGGCAGGGAGGACTGAGGTTCACAGTTTCTCACAGGCCAGATTTACTTTTCTGGGGTTCCAGAGTTAGTGGATTTTATGGGCACCCCCCCCCCTTAGGCTCTGGGGTGGGAACAAAAATGAGGGGTTCAGTGAGCAAGACAGGGCTGCCAGAGAATGGGATAGGGTGCAGGATCTGGGTGGGAGGTGGGGTGCAGAAGCAGGCTGGGAGTAGGGTGTCTGGCCAGGGGACTGAGCAGGAGCAAAGGAGGGTGTAAGGAGCAACCATGGATGCAGGAGCAGGATGGGGGCAGATGTCTGGCCAGCGGGCAGGGTATTTGGCCATGAGAGAGGGTGCAGAAGACATGGGGGAGGGTGTCTGGCAAGGGGCAGGGAGTGCCCGGGACTACAGCTGAGGGGGCAGACTGCCTGAGGGGGTTCAGGGAGCAGGATGCCCTTGGGAACAGGGCTAGGGTCAAGGTGGCTGGGAGGGGGGTTTCAAGGAAATGGTGGGGCAGAGGGCAGGGAGACTGAGTGCGGTGCAGCAAGGGGGAGACTGAGTAGGTGGGTGGGGTTCTGTCTATGGCACCCTCTGGCTTGGCCCGTCCCCTCAGACCAAGTCCTCATGGGTGCAAAGCCCTGAAGGGCCCCGAGCCCCCAGCTGCCTCCTGCATGTGCAGGGTCCAGTGTCGCCTTCTCTCACCGCTGCCAGCACGGCACAGCCCAGCCTGCCGCCCGGGGAAGTGGGGGAGAAGGAGCTCCCGCCGCAGACCACCTGGGAGGCAGCCATGGACCACTGGCACTGCACTTTGAGAACCGCTGCCCTCGTCTCATCGAAAACATATTTATGTGGCACAAAGCCAACCACCGCAGACCACCTGGGAGGCAGCCATGGACCACTGGCACTGCACTTTGAGAACCGCTGCCCTCGTCTCATCGAAAACATATTTATGTGGCACAAAGCCAACCAAAAAAACCCACCCCCGCCAAAAGTCATGTGTCTTCTCCTAGGGAAGAGACATCTTCATAGTTAAAATAAGAATTTGTCCTGGCGCCCGGCCCAGCGGGCTGGTGGGGAGGTGCCCGGGGACCCTGAAGAACATGCTGGAGGCCTTTATGCACCGACACCCGCAGGACTGGGCCGAGTACCTGCCCCCCTGCTGCCTGCACACTGGGAGGTGCCCTGAGGGTCTCCCCGACAGGGCCGGGGTGCAGAAACCAAGAAACCTTCTGTTCCACCTGCCAGCGGAGCGTCGCCTCTGGGCTGTAGGGTCGGGGCTCCCCGACGCGCCGTGACGGTGGTGGCAGCGGTGGGATGGGCGGCATCCGGCAGGACGCGAAGAGGTGCAGGAGAAAGAAGGGGGCTTGCAAGAGCCAAGCGTGCCGGAGGCCGTGAGACACGGACACAACCAAAAAACCCAGCCCCGCCAAAAGTCGTGTGTCTTCTCCTAGGGAGGAGACATTAGTTAAAAGCCAAACAGAAAAGCTGCCAAAGACAGTTTGGGCTCTCGGTTAAAAACCTAAAAAATCCCAACTCCCGCCGCCTCAAAGGACAGGTCTGAATATTATCACCCACCAAACACATCAGCAAAACGCAAAAGGCTTCTTGAAAATGCCCGTCCCTACCAACGCTCCCGGCGTAAAAATCCTAGTAACAATTCATGTTCTCAAACTACACATTCCAGAATTATTAAGAAAGGGATAGAAAATAAGACCCAGAACATCTTACTGCCTCTGTATAAAACGATGGTACGCCCAAATCTTGAATACTGTGTACAGATGTGGTCTCCTCATCTCAAAAAAGATATTTTGGCCTTGGAAAGGGTTCAGAAAAGGGCAACTAAAATGATTAGGGGTTTGGAGCAGGTCCCATATGAGGAGAGGTTAAAGCGACTGGGACTTTTCAGTTTAGAAAAGAGGAGACTGAGGGGGGATATGATAGAGGTCTATAAAATCATGAGTGGTGTGGAGAGGGCCGATAAAGAAAAGTTATTTATTAGTTCCCTAAATAGAAGAACTAGAGGACACCAAATGAAATTAATGGGTAGCAGGTTTAAAACTAATAAAAGAAAGTTCTTCACACAGCACGTAGTCAACCTGTGGAACTCCTTGCCAGAGGAGGCTGTGAAGGCTAGGACTATAACAGAGTTTAAAGAGAAGCTAGATAATTTCATGGAGGTTAGGTCCATAAAAGGCTATTAGCCAGGGGATAAAATGGTGTCCTTGGCCTCTGTTTGTCAGAGGCTGGAGAGAGATGGCAGGAGACAAATCGCTTGATCATTGTCTTCGGTCCACCCTCTCTGGGGCACCTGGTGCTGGCCACTGTCGGTAGACAGGATACTGGGCTAGATGGACCTTTGGTCTGACCCAGAACGGCCGTTCTTATGTTATGTTCTAATCACTTGCCCCCATTCCATAGTAAATCGCCTTAACCCCCTTCGTCTAGTATTGATCCAAACAACACAGGGAAAGAAATACACATGTCACAAATTAAGCTGCTTGCATCAATCAGAAACTAAAGACATTTCCAAAAATCTGCATAAAGCACTGCTCACCGCAACTTCAGTTTATCAACAGTGCAACTCCCAGGGAAAGGCAAAGGCAAAGGCTGGCTTTATCCAGTCCAAAAAAGATGAAATATTCAAATAATTGTAAAACATTAAATTAAAAACCTGTCGTCCGTAGGCCAGCATTTAAAAATGGTTCACTTCCTAGCACTAGGGAACGCCGCTGAACAATCCAATCCTCCTCATCGATTACTATGAACACAAGCCACATTTTGAAACTGCTAAAAAAAATCCAACACAGACGCCTACACAAATTTAAAAGCCCTTAAAAAAACGGTCCTTGCCTGTTATTGCTGTTCTTCGAGATGTGTTGCTCATGTCCATTCGAATTAGGTGTGCGTGCCGTGTGCACGGACTACGGAGCCTCTTTCCCCAGTGGTGTCCGTCGGGCCAGCATGGAGCCCCCTAGAGTGGCGCAGACGCAATGGTGAATAAGTGCCCCTGCTGGCCCTCCCCTCCCTCAGTTCCCTTGTGGCAAAAACTCCAAGGAAGGGGAAGTCAAGGGGTGTCAAATGGACACAAGCAACACATCTCGAAGAACAGCAGTTACAGGGACGGAACCGCTTTTTCTTCTTCGAGAGCTTGCTGATGTGCACTGGAATGAGGGATGGTCTAGAGGGTACTGGGGGCTGAGGTCCCTTACGGTTCTAGTGTTCTACGATTGTATAAACCAACGGAGGCGGAGAACACCACCGGTTAAGGCAGGGCCGACTGCAGCACCGCAACACCCTGGGCTGCGTCCTCCCTAGCACGTAATGTGCTGCAAGCGTGTGCACTGACGAGCTTGTGGCTGCCATACAGCTATAGGAACCCGCGCCAGGAAGGCTGCCAAGGAGGCCTGTGCCCGAGTGGAGTGAGCTGCGATGTGAGGCGGCCCCTTGCCTGCCAGTTCCAAACAGGATGCAGTCCAGGAGGACAAGCTCTGGGCCAAAGCCGGCATGCCTTTCATTCTTTCCACTACTGAAATAAAGAGTTGAGGCGACCTGCAAAACTCTGTCGTCCTCTCAATGGAAAACGCCAGCGCTCGCTCTGCGTCTAGCGAGTGCAGGACCCGCTCCCTGGGGGGCTTTGGGAAGTAGATATCCTGCCACCACCACCTTAGGGAGCATGGCTGGATGGGGGCAGACGCACCCTGCCCGCCAAAGAGACGTGTACGGAGGGTCGACAGCGCCCTAAGTTCTGAAACCCTCCCTTGATGATGTGATCGCCACGTTGAATGACAGGTGTCTACGGGAACACATGGCCACCAGTTCGAAAGGCAGGCACAGCAGCCTGGTGAGCACCAGGTTGAGATCCCACGGTGGCACCGGGTACCTGACGCGTGGGCACAGCCTGTCCACTCCTTTACGGAAGAGGAAGTCACTCACCATGGTGCAGTAACGACAGTTCTTAGAGATGTGTCCGCATGGGTGCTCCACTGTAGGTGTCGGGACGAGCCCGACACTCTCGACCACGGGATTAGTGAACACACATCTCCCTCCCCCCCCCCAGGGTGGAAAGCCACTAGAGCTGCCAGATGCACCCTCGGGGAGACGTAGATAGACCCGTCTGATGTAACAAAGGTGGCGGGACAGGTGTTCTTAAGGGCTGCACTCCCTTTCGTAATGCCCACTCGGAAAAATGTCTCCACTTGGCCGAGTAAGCGGCTCTCATGGAGGGCTTCCTGCTTCCCAACTCGTGCCTGCTTTGCCTCCGTCAGCCGGTCAGGTGGAGAGAGAAGTTCGGGTAGCCCTCCCCCTGGTCCTGGGTGATTAGACCGTGGGCAGGGCTATGGGTTCAAAACCCATCCTGTCTGGGCCATTCAGGGCTATTAGACTGACCGTTGCCTTGTGTATCAGGGGAAACATGGAGGAGGCCTGGGGGCCAATCGGTTACTAAAGCACCCCCCGGAGCCAGGTAAGGGTAGTAAGCCGGACACTTCTTGTTTCTGTGAGAAGCAAAGAGCTCCACCATGGGATAATCCCACTGGAAGATCTCCTCTCACAGCTGTCCCTTGAGCGACCGCTCATGGCCCTCTACTCCTCTGGGTCTGACCGAGACCTCCGTCCCCATTGGTGTTATTGTTATTATTGCCTGGGTTACGAGGCCTGCGCCTGGCTCGGTCAGGTCTAAAGGCCTGGTAAGGAGGCCTCTGCGTGGCCGGGGTATGTATGCCCAGAGGTCTAAGCGTCTGCTGAGAGAACACGTCTTTTCCCTCAAATGGCAGGTCCTGGAGAGTGTTCTGCATGTCAGGGACTATCCCAGAGACCTGTGACCAAGCCCTGCGGTGCATCACGATCCCTGTGGCCACTGTGCATGCCGCCGAGACAGCCACCTCCAGTGCCGCCTGCAGCGCTGTGCGCGAAAGGATCCTCCTTGAACCTGTCTAGCATCCGCATGCCTGCGGGTTAGCAATGCGCCGCTGAGGGCCCTCCGGCACGTACGCCTTTCTGCTCCCTGCTTTTGGGGGTAGGCCTCGGTTGGCCTCGTCCCGCCACCTGAACCAGCAGGGAGCCCATGCCTGGTCTGGGGAACGAAACAGCATCGTTGCACCCCGTTCTGAGTGGGCGGGAGAGATGCCGGCGTCTGCCCTGGACACAGTGGTAATATTAGCCCCAGGTTTATTCAGTGGCAGTGCCCCCTACCTTGGTGCATCGGTGGATAAAATGTCGACCATGGGGTCCGAATCCTCGTCGACGACCTCCGCCTGTACCCCCAGCTTTGCTGCCAAGCGATGTAGCAGTTCGCACGGATGGAGCAGGGACTCGTCGGGAGGAAAAGGAGGACTCCCTGATTGGCAGTTGGTCCTGGGGTGGCAGGAGTTCCCAAGCCCTCACCCTCATGGGACAAGGTACCTCTCTCTGCGGGCTGCCCCTGTACTCAGAGGTGGGGGCCCTGGACACCAATGGGGGACCCCTGGACCGAGAAACATCAGAGCCCTCAGAGAGTAGCAGCGGGCCCTGCATTTGGTGGTAGGCCCGTTGTGGCTGCATGGGAGATGGCCATGTCTGATGGGGCTGGGACTCCCGGTGCTGAGGTCTAATCGAAAGATGCCCCTGACTGCACTGATTCTGCATCAGATTCTGCCGAAGAGTCCGATACAGACCAGGGCGGAGCCAAAGACTCATTTTCCCCGGTGCACGGGGGGGGCCCTCATCTGTGACGGTGCCGCCGGAAGCAGGCCACTCCTCCCGTCCCCGTGCCCCGACCATCCTGGTGCCGATGATGTTCCCGGTGCCACCAAGGCTACCGGTGCCGCAGTGAAATGACTTGTCTGTCCCGAGTGTCTGATTTGCTGAGACGTCTGGACCGGTGAGGCCATGAGCTCTAGCAGCTCCCTCGCAGAGGCAAAGGTCTCAGAGATGGATGGTCTGTCCACGCGTAAGGGCCCTTGGCCTGGGCTTGTCTGCGTTGAGCCAAGTGGTGCCTAGAGGGCCCTGGAATGTCTCGGTGTCGCAGAGGCGAGTCTTGTCAGGTGTGCGAGCCCGGT